CATGCACAATTCCAGCCAGCTCTGCTTGGGTAATTGAACCCCCTCCAAGGTTCGCTGAAAAGGCTTTAATGAAGCGGCCATCGTCTCCCCTCATGATTCCTCCACATGTTGTGCTTTCGTGTGCCTGTATCACCGAGCCATCGGTATTCACACATAGCCAGCCAGCTTGAGGTGGTTGCCAGCTAATGAGGCATCATTCCCGGAGTCCCCCGGCTCCGAAAATGCGAGTCTCCTGCTCAAAAGCAGTATGAATCCGATGCTTGAGCTGCTTTGCGTCGAACTGAATTTGTGCATAGGTCTTCAGCTCACCTTCGAATAAGAGGCTATTCCGATTTTTCCACAGTAGCCAACACGTACCTGCAAACAGGGTAGGGTCATCCACATTACTGCGACTAGAAAGGTAGTAAAGAGACCATCGCTTCATTTCCGGCTCGAAGAAACAGCTATCGGGCTCTCTGTCAAGGAACTCCACCCATACTGCTTTCGCAAAAGGGCAGTCTCGAACGACGTGCATGGCTGTCTCGTTGGATCCACCGCAAATTTTGCAGCTATTGTTCTCCGTCAGGTGTCATCGGTGGTGTTCCGCATTTGTCAGCAGCCTGTCATGAACCATCAGCCATAGGAACGTTCGGACGCGCTGCATCGTGGGAGTCCTCCAAATTGTGCGCCAGGCTGGGTGTCTATAGTTGCTCCCAGCTCCACTATCTATCAGTTCGTACGCCGTCTTCAAGGTAAAATCGCCAGACTGAGAAAATCGCCACACTCTCACGTCATCTTCCAGCTCCGTCGGGATCGGGTGAAGTTCAACCTGCGAAACAACATGGGGAGGTAATTACACATTTAGAAGGTCCCTGTTCCACTCACCATTTAGCACAAAATCGGCGACGGGCATATGCAAGCATTCCACCGGTCGCTCCAAAACCTGGCCACCCTTCCATTTCTAATATTCCAGCTTGAAGCCTCTTCTACCAAGTGCATCACCCTCAACACACCCCGCCAAAGGTTAGATAGCCTCCCTGTCGTTCGAGCGACCAAACCCTCCTCAGTTTGGCGAAAGTATTTCGACTGGATCACTTTGGCCCACAATTAATTTGGGTTCATGAGCAAACGCCAAGCAATCTTAAGCATGTATGCCTCGTTTAACTTCGTAGCATCTCTGAGCCCCAACCCTCCTTCCGCTTTCGGCCTGCAGAGAGTATCCCAATTAATAAGGTGGATTTTTCTTCCTTGGTCTGTACTCCCCCAAACAAACGCCCGGATCTTCTTATCGATATAGTCACGCACACTCGCTAGGAGAAACGCTGTTTGCATAGTGTAAGCTGGGAGGGAGGAGAGTACCGAGAGTGCTAAAGTTATCATGCCCGCTAGTGACAACGTAGCGGCTTTCCATCCTGCTAGTCTCGAGTCTATTTTATCTATCAATTCCGTGTAAGTAGCTTTTGATACCCGATCATGGATAACCGGCACCCCCAAGTACCTGCCCAGATTAGTAGTCTCGGGGATTCCCAAAGCTTCACTCAAGCTATGCTGAGTGTCAGGCAGTACATTAGCTGAGAAAAAGACCCGGGATTTCGGTTTGCTGATCTGTTGGCCTCACGCTCCTCCAAAGAGCTCAAAGAAATCTAACATCACCTGCACCTGTTCCAACGTCGCCTCCCCAAATAATATAAGGTCGTCGGCAAAGAACGAATGGGATAGACACGGCCCAGAGCTTGCAAGCTTGATCGGTTTCCACTGGCCAGTGGCCACAGCGTCATTGATCAAATGCCCAAGCCTCTCCATACAGAGTGTAAAGAGGTATGGCGAAAGCGAGCATCCCTGGCGGAGGCACCTCGAAGGATAGAAAGGCTCTGTAAGTCCACCATTCCACTGTATCTGCATGCCAGCTGACGTAATACACTCCATCGTGAGCACCACAAATTTAGGAGGGGCGCCTGCTGCCTGAAGCGTATCTCGAATAAACTCCCACCTGATCCGGTCGTAGGCTTTTGCTAGGTCAATTTTCAACGTCATCCAGCCTTTCCGACCCTTTTTCGCTCGCATAGAGTGAACTACCTCTTGCAAGATGCATATGTTGTCTGTTATATGGAGCCCAGGCACAAAACTCGTTTGCGTCTGATGAACCAGTGATGGAATCAGCTCTTTCAGTCTTTCCGCCAACCATTTAGTAACCGCTTTATAGGCCACGTTACAGAGGCTAATCGGCCTAAATTGCTCGATTGATGATGGTTGGGCTACCTTTGGGATCAGGACCAGAACGGTTGAGTTCACTTCCTTGATTCTACTCGGCACCTCCCAACACTCCTGCGTCAATTTACCCAAAGATTCTCCCACCATGGACCAACACTTCTGAAAAAACAACGGATTGATGCCATCTTTACCAGGAGCTTTCAAGGCCCCCATAGAACGGATAGCCAAACACACTTCCTCTACCGTGATCTCCTTGCTTATCTCCTCCCATTTCTCGGGCGCGATAGGTGGGAAAGCAGCCTGAATGTGCTGCAGCTCTCCCACTTACTCCGTATAGAGCCATTGGAAAAAGGCTTTTGCCATTTCTTGTAGCTCTGCCGGATCATCTATCCACTCACCCGCCGCATTCTTAAGGAGGGTTATTTGATTTCGCTTACGTCGGTGGAGTGTGCGAGTGTGGAAGAACTTCGTATTACGGTTGCCAGATATAATCCACTCTAAGCAAGCTTTTTGACAGCAGGTCACTTCCTCATGTAACAGCACTGACTCGAGCTCTTCTCTAACTTGGATTAATTCCTGGCTTTCGATCACCGCTCTCCTACTATGCTCCATCCCTTCCAGTTTATTCATCAACTTGTCCTTCTTTCTCTGGATATGTCCGAAAACGGTGCGGTTCCAAACCTCCGCATCCCGGGCTAGAGCCTCGGCTGATTCGGTGAAACGCCCTCCCTTAGCCCAGGCGCTAGCTACCATTGGTATAAAGTCTTCATACATAGTCCAAGCCGCGAGGAAGCGAAAGGGTTTGCGACCCCCCGGCTGAGCGTGCACCTGAGACGATAGCAAGATTGGGCGGTGATCTGATCTGATTCGAGGAAGGTGGCGAATTGTCGAGTCTGGGAATACATTGACCCATTCAGTATTTGCCAAGCCTCTGTCTAACCTCTCCCATAACCCCCAGCGAAACCACGTGTACGCTGGCCCAGTAAAGCCAATATCCACAAGCCTTGTGTCATAAACACAGTCCTGAAAATCTCGTATCCTCGAAGCATCAAAAGGTGCGCCTCCCAATTTCTCCCCGGGGCTGAGGATAGATTTAAAATCTCCCATTAACAGCCAGGGTTGCTCTTGGTCTTCTGCTAGCTCACGAATCTCTTCCCAAAGTTGTCGCCTTTGGATTGGCGCCGGATTTCCATATACAGCAGATAGCACCCAGGTCGGACTACTGGAGTTGGGTACCTGTACCTGCACGTGAAGACATTGAGGGTGATTGTTAAGCCGTGTCACGACAAAGTCTCATGCGTTCCACAGAATCCAAATACCCCCGAGAAACCTGTAGCATCAACAATAAACTTGCTGTCATAACCCATATCCTTAACAATCTCATTCACTCGATCCCCACTGATGCGAGGTTCCACTATTATCACAATATCCGGACGATGTCTCCGACGATATTCCTTAAAGATTCTCAAAAAGCTACGGCTACCCGCACCCCTACAATTCCAAGAAAGAATCTTAAAATCCATAAAATGAATAGGATAAGAGCGACTCCCTTGATTAATTCGCCGACGGAGAAGCCCCGTCAACATCGCACATTTGTGCCTCACTTTGATTTACTCCACCGTCTGTGGCTCCTCGAGATCCTGGTGAGGTCCGATCGTCTGGAGGCCTCCCCAGCTCTTGTGCTGTCTGCATGCTACTCTGCTTGCCATGCAGAGCAGTAACCAGGCCAAAAGTTTGGGTTGTTGCTTGCAACTGCATTAACATATTCTCCTCCATAGTCTCCTTTGTGGATGCAGTCTGGACGCTCATTTTGTATTTCCCCTGCACAGCGCCGTCATTTTGCTTATTAATCGTCTTGGGGCTTTCGTGGGGTTGGTCTTCACAAGCCTGCATCGGCTTTCCTTGCCCTGCTGTTGGATTTGGGGAGGTGGCTTTAGCCTTCCCACCAAGTCCTTTCTTGGGTATCTCCCTTCCCTTGCTTTGGGCCGAGGCTCTGTTTTCTTGCTCCCTTGCAGCTGAAGATTCCTCAAGATCCTCATTAGTTATTTCCTCGTTCTTCTCAGTATGAAGAGCATGGAATCGGGACCCCGAGCTGTTATGCTCACCCTAATCTCTTTGCCTCGCAGGAGTGGACATTGACACGTGATGGATTGGGTGCATTAGGTCTTCCCTTTCGCGGTTTGCGCTTGGCGATCATCCATTCACCGTAAACTTTCTCCGATTGTGGTGTCTCGGTCTCTTTGGGAATGTTCACAGTCTCATCCTCCATGGGTTCGGCTAGCTTTGAGCATTGACAGGGGCCTTGAGTCGTGTACCTTCCACACTGTAAACAGATCCTCCCGTGAATCCGAAATTTTGAGAGAAGAGGCTTTGTTAGGTCAACCTGAACACACAGCCTAGCATAGTCACTTCGAGCACCTGCCCGGGTTGCCTGATCGACCTTGATTGGCTTCCCCATGCGTCGACCAATTTTCATGACAGCCTCAGGGTGAAAGTACTGTATCGGAATCTCGAGAAGGCGTGCCCAAACAAGAGTCGATGAGATTTCATATTCATATGGGTTGAAATTGCTGTCCCACATGTGCACCGTCAAGTAGTTCTCTCCCATCATCCAAGGTCCCCCCCGTAATCGCACGTTCATAATCAATGCCGCTAGAGAACCGTACTAGAAAGTAGCCCTTCTTAGCTAACGTCACCTGAATACTACCAACCTTTGCCCAGATCGAGGTCAAATGCTTGGAGATGGCAGTATACGAAGTTGAACGTTCCAGAACTTTAACCACAAGTGCTGATCTCCATGGGCGGCAGAATTATCTCTCTTCCGCATCAGAGAATTGGATCGGTGGACACAGCGGGTCATCTTCCTCCTCGGGTTCAGCTTCTCGCCCATCCTCTCTCATGCCCGCCGCTACATCCTCCGAGTCGGAGTCAGCGACATACCACTCATCGGTCTTCGCAAAGTCACCAAACAGGCGATGCGTTGCCCCCATACCGTGGCTCCATGCAGAGACTTTGGGGCTATGATTCGTAGGTGATATCGGAAGGTTAGCGACTGGTTCCATGTGAACATCATTTGGATTGTCGTCAGAGATGTCCACCGCCACCGTCGGTTTGGCTCTCTTCTTCGTCTGTTGAGCTTCCCTATCCCCCTTCGGATTCGGGGACGAGGAATCAGTTGGGGGTCGTCTTTGGCCTGAGAGGAGGTCTGCAGCGGAGCTTCCCCCTCCGGTCAGCAGCTCAGACACCGCCACCATGAAGGCGAGGGACATGCGTAACCCTACGAGCGCGAAGTTTCCCTTCCTACTTTCTCGGAGAAAAAAAGTCGCCTGGAATCAATTCCTAATTCTTAACGTATTCTACTTGCCATTACTTGGCTACCAACATGATTAATATACGAATCTCTAAGTAAAATTACTTTATTTCAGTGAATTTAAATGATAAAAATAATTTTATTACTTATTTTATGAGTATAAAAATTATATATTGATGTTATTTGTTCGATTCAAGTATAAATGTTTAAGTATTGACGTTAAATGCCATGTTTAAATATGAATATTTATAATTTTATTTGTAATATTGACCGGCATGAACCGGCACAAAGCGACATGTGCCTCCGGTCGAACCATTCCACTTGCTAAACCAGCATACTGGCATAGAGCGGTTTGACAACCTTGATAAAAACTCAACTCCACATATTGATATACTTGATGTTTTATTTCATATTTTGGTTTCTTAATTCTTTAATTTTAAATAAGATTCATTAAGTTCTTCCATTTTTAAGGATAGATTGGTCAAAAGGCTTGGGGTTTCACCGTAGGAGTTGTGTGAAGGGGACGAGTTTCTTGGCAGTGCAAAAATTGGTTTGAAAAATTTTCCGTCAAAGCATTAGCAGTCTTTGCCATTATTATTATTATTATTATTATTATTATTATTACATGGCTAATTCCACTAGAAAGGTCAAACTATTTTAAAAGTGTCATTTGTGTTCTAAACTATTCAATATGACAAATCCGAAACAAATTATATGCGTTTCGTGACATTTGTGTCCTAAACTTATTCAATATGAAAAATCTGGCACAAACAACATAGATGCTCACTAAATTTTCTAGTAAATACTAAGGGTCTACGCTGGTCAACATTAACGAAAAAATAGTTTGTGCCAGATTTGTCATATTGAATAGTTTATGACACAAATTACACTTTTTGAATAGTTTGGGTTTTTTTTATGAATGGTTTGGTATCTATTAATCATCATAAAAAACAAAGGTACTGTTGCCACTGAGGAAATCAAATCAACATAGAGTAACTGTGAAAACAACTAAAAAGAGCCAAGAACTATGAGCAACAAAGAGAACCTATGCACTCAAAAGAAAGCAACCACTTCAGTATCATCACAAACCACCTGCACTTCATCTTTAATCAGCTTACAAGCTTCACTGAGACTCATAAGAGAGCCACCAAATCTGGCTGAGCACCTGACTCTCCAAATATTGCTAACCAAGGATTGCCAGATTACTCTTCCAGCCTTTAAATGAAGAGCAGACTTGGAAAAGGAATCCATAGCCCATTGTAATTCCTCTAACCAGAAGTTAGAGGGTGTTCTGCAGCAAAATCTGGAGAATAGAGTTTGAAGCATATCCTTATACCTGCCACATTCTGCAAAATCTGGAGAATAATGTGACTCAATTCTGCACTGACAATAAACACAAGTTGTGATCGCTTGAAAACCCCATTCCACCATTTTATCACATGTAGAGATGTAGTTCTTAATAATTAACCAACTGACAAACTGATTTCGAGGAATGACAGGTGGTTTCCAGACCAACTTAAACCAAGGAACAACAGTTCCTTGTGGCCTTAATTCTTCCCAGATTTACTTTGTTGAAAATTTTTTCATGGGCTTCCCATTCCAGAACCCCTCAACATCTTGCATAGTCAACTTATGATGAACCAGATCTATGGTTTTGACCACTTTTAGCCATAGCCAAGACCCAGATTGACATGTTGAAGTCCAGAAATCAACCTCATGGAGCATATATTCCCATATCCAGGCCACCCATAGGGATCCCTGTTTTGTAAGGAGATCTCATATGTGCCTCACAATGCAAGCCAAGTTCCAGCTTCTCAAGTCCCTTAACCCCAGCCCTCCCTCTCTTTTAGGAAATGTTAACTTCCCCTAGGCTGCCACTGCTTTCTTTTTACCATCCTAACCCACACCCCAAAGGAAGTCACTACACATCTTCTCTATATCAACAATTACTTTTTTTTTTGGCAAAATAAACACAGCCATCCAGAACTGCACCATGTTGTATAAAACAAATAGAACTAATTGAAGTCTGCCTGCATAGCTCAACGTTTTTACCCCCCAGTTCTGAATCCTCTTGGAAATTTTTTCTATTAAAGGACGACATACTTTAGATGACAGTTTACCAGGGATTTAAAGAATGCCTAGATACCTAACTGGGAGAGAGCCAAGCTGATAACCAGCTCTGGCAGCCATACTCACCTGCCAAGCCTGAGGAAAGCCACAATAGTAGAGTTCACACTTAGCTGGATTAGACACTAGCCCTGAAAGGATTCTAAACTACTCAAGGACCTCCTGAATACAATGAATTCCATAATTCGACCCATAAGAAAAGATCAACAAGTCATCAGCAAACATAAGGTGAGTTAGGCCTACACGTTTGCACATTGGGTGGAAAGGCATTATGTTTTTATTTACTGCTTTTCTCATAAGAATAATGAAAACTTCCATTGCAACAACAAAGAGATAGGGAGACAGAGGATCTCCCTGTCTTAAACCCTTCGTAGCTGAGAAATAACCAACCACCCCTCCATTAAACTCAACACTGATCTTAGGAGTTGTAAAACACATTGAGATCCATTTGATGAACCCAGTAGGGATATTCATAGCTTCAAGTACAGTAGTGAGAAAGGTCCAGTCCACTGAATCAAATGCTTTCATTAGATCCACCTTTACCATACCACCTAGAAGACATGTTTTTCCTTCCATACTTCTGAACCATTTCATGAGCAAGTAGAATGTTCTCCCCTATGACTCTACCTTTAACAAAAGCAGTTTGATTCTCACTAATCAAATGAGGCAAGCATTCACTAAGCCTGGAGGAAATTATCTTAGCTATACATTTGTAAAGAATATTACAGCATGATATAGGTCTAAAATTCTTCATTTCCTTAGGATTCTTAGTCTTAGGAAGTAGAGCTAAGAGAGAGAAATTTACCTCCAAAGGGAACTCAGAGTCTGAGAAGCTATACTGGATAGCAGCAGTGAGTGATTTCTTCACCCACAATACTCCAGGTAGAATGATAAAAACAAGCTGAGTACCCATCTGGACCAGGACTTTTCTCCCCCTTAAACCCAAACATTACTTTCTTGACCTCCTCTGTTGTGACAGGTCTGCACAGTTCTAATGCTAGATTACTATGGAGATTTTTTTTTGCAGCAGACCCCTATAGAAATCAACTAACTCAGCCTTCACATTAGGATCAGCTTTACCAAGTAGGTTCTGGTAGAAATGCAGTGCTACCTCACTCATATTCTTTGTATCAACAACCCTTTCCCCAGCTTCATTGATAAGAGATCTGATCGTATTCCTCTGGTTTCTAATCTTGACTGAACGATGGAAAAAGAGGAATTAGAATCCCCTTCTTTAAGCCAAATCTCCCTAGACTTTTGCCTGAGGAATGACTCTTGTGCTTTCCTGATAATTTTTAACTTCACTTCACTATCTTTAACCCTAGCAAAAGATTCAGTGGAAGGAACAGCTAGTGCAACATCATGAGCACTTTGTAACTCTAATTCTTTTAGCTTCACACGCTCCCTAAGATCAGAAAACTCCTCCTTATTCAACTCCTTCACTAACTTCTTTAGGATTCTAAGCTTCTTACAAACTCTGGATAAAGGAGAACCCTCATCCTCAGCACTCCAAGCATCCTTAACAAGGTCCAAAAACTTTGGATGAGAAGTCCAAAATTTAAAGAATTTGAATGGTTTGGGCAAGGATTTGATCTTACTGTTTGTGTTTAGGATAATAGGACAGTGATAAGAAACTGAAGGATCGAACAGATCCACCACACTATCTTTCATGTCATCAAACCATTTCAAGTTTATGAAAGCCTTATCTAGTCTCCTTGCAATAGGGTTACTCTGCTGCTTATTGATCCAAGTAAACCAATGTCCTGAAGATTTGTGCTCAACAATTTCAGCAAAATTCTGCCAATTTCGAAAATCTTCCATACTACTATTAGGAGCTCGGTTGTTAGAGGCCTCTTCAGGACCATTAAGGTATTAAAATCCCCCAGAATTACCCAAGGAACTTGCCCAACTTTTAACTTAACAAGATCACTGTATAATGTCTTCCTATTTGCCTCCTCCTTCGATGCATAGACAAAAGTAATAAAGAAAGGAGAACCAGAACTCACCAATCCATGTACAAATTGATCTGTACTATCTAGAATCCTCATATGAACATCCTGCTTCCAAAGAACCCACAGCTTCCCCAGACCATTAGAGTTGATATGATCCAAATCCGAAGATAACCCTCGAACTCGGATTATAAGACCAAAGTACGCAGCTCCAACGATCTTTTCTTGATTTTCTTGATTCTTTGATTTTCTTGATTTTCTTGACTTTCTTGATTTTCTTGATGTCGCCTTTCTTGAACTCGAAAATAAAGATACCTGCGGAATCGATCAAACAAATCCGAACTCGTGAGAAGGGCCAGAAGGTATATGAAACCTTCCAAACAATCTCGAACCCGTGGAAGAGGCCAATCGATATCGTCGATGCTCGCCACAACTAGACGCGTTCTCTAGTTGATAAGAGACCACTCAAACCTCCCGAATCCTCAAAGGAGCGAATAAGCAAAACGTTCACTTGAACTTGTAAACACTTGTATTTGATTGCTGAAACTTGAATAATGGGTACTAAATTCGTAGCTCTTACACCCTCTATTTATAGAGGTCATGAAAACATAAATCTAACCTAAAAGGAATAAGAAAACAAATCTCAAAATAATTAGGAAACATAATACTACTTAAATAAGGAATAAAACTACTAATTTAACTTCTATATAACCAAAATTACAATTAAACAAATGAATGCCCAATTGCACCGCCTGCTACCAGCTTTCCTTCTCCGCGCCGGAATTGGAATTCTGATTTTCCTTTGCTCTCGCGGAACAACTGCTGCTCCAATTACTTCATTTTCCTTCCATCTTCTCGTGGCCTTTCTTTCTTCTTGTTTTTATTTGCTTTGAATGATTTAATCATGCCATGCAATCTTCACGTTGGTTTGTCCTTGGTGGAGTTTGAATTAATCCAGATAAATACCCACCAGCCATTTAATCCCCACGTCCTCCTCAGCTCCACGTTTGTGGAATGACCACACACATTAATTTTGTAACGAGCGGCCAGCAGCTTATAAGCTACAATTTATCCATCAAGAATGCTCCTAATTGATCCTTATATCTCATTATTCGAACCTGCATTTTTGGACCACGAGAATTAAATATGGTGCGAGTCGATATCGCATCATTCCCTCTCTCTTGAAGAAGATTCGACCTCGAATCTTTGATGAATCTTGAACCTTGATCAGCTCCGCTCTTTTTTCTCTTCCAACGAAATTGTATTGGTGAGGATCGTATTATTCCCCCCTTCTTAAGAGCAATTCGTCCACGAATTATAGAGACACCATTGTGATGAAAACCCTCCACATAACTCTGCATTTCTCGTCGCTTCTCCATGTGTGCTCCCTCTTCGAAAATTGCATCACCAACCACGAAATCAATATGATCATATTCAGGAACAATTGATGAATCCCCCAGAATTTTCATGCATTCATCTCCTCCATTGATTTCTGGTTTCTTCATGTATTGCTCACAATCCGGCGTACCCTAAGCTGACTTTTCAACAAGAACATCTTCTATCGCCTCCTCGTCATCAAAATCCTCATACTCTTCACAACAAGTATCGAAAAGTGGACCTTCCATAGGCGAGATTTCAATATACTCCTCCTTGTCTTGATCTTGTATTATCGTCTGGCTCTGAATATCTTGTAGTTGATCTGCTTGAATCTCGATGTCAAAGACTTCTGGACTTGTCTCTTGTGCCTCAATGGTAGATTCAAACGATTCATCTTGCTCTGGATGCGAATTCCCGACCTGCAACTGAGCTTCTTTTTGGATTACTATGGTTGGCCTACTAATTCCCCACGAAACTGCCAATCGAGTAAGGCTCCCATTTATTTGTGCTTGCCCTTGATGATAAGCTTCTATTTGCATGCTGATTTGTCGTAATGTTGCCGCAATGTCTTGTGCTTGTTCCTCCATGATTTCTTGCTAAAGAAGAACCCCACGAATGCTTTGTCTTCAAGATACCTTCCTTGCCACACAAGAAACTCTCAAGAGCGTTCAAGATTTGCTTTCTTGACGTTCAAGATTTCCAAGAATGCTTCCCGAACTACCAAGAATCTTTGTCTTCTCCGCTGCGTTTGAACCGGGCTCTTGATACCACTTGATATGATCCAAATCCGAAGATAACCTTCGAACTCGGATTATAAGACCAAAGTACGCAGCTCCAACGATCTTTTCTTGATTTTCTTGAAAACGATCTTTTCTTGATTTTCTTGATTCTTTGATTTTCTTGACTTTCTTTATTTTCTTGATGTCGCCTTTCTTGAACTCGAAAATAAAGATACTTGCGGAATCGATCAAACAAATCCGAACTCGTGAGAAGGGCCAGAAGGTATATGAAACCTTCCAAACAATCTCGAACCCGTGGAAGAGGCCAATCGATATCGTCGATGCTCGCCACAATTAGACGCGTTCTCTAGTTGATAAGAGATCACTCAAACCTCCCGAATCCTCAAAGGAGCGAATAAGCAAAACGTTCACTTGAACTTGTAAACACTTGTATTTGATTGCTGAAACTTGAATAATGGGTACTAAATTCGTAGCTCTTACACCCTCTAATTATAGAGGTCATGAAAACATAAATCTAACCTAAAAGGAATAAGAAAACAAATCTCAAAATAATTAGGAAACATAATACTACTTAAATAAGGAATAAAACTACTAATTTAACTTCTATATAACCAAAATTACAATTAAACAAATGAATGCCCAATTGCACCGCCTGCTACCAGCTTTCCTTCTTCGCGCCGGAATTGGAATTCTGATTTTCCTTTGCTCTCGCGGAACAACTGCTGCTCCAATTACTTCATTTTCCTTCCATCTTCTCGTGGCCTTTCTTTCTTCTTGTTTTTATTTGCTTTGAATGATTAAATCATGCCATGCAATCTTCACGTTGGTTTGTCCTTGGTGGAGTTTGAATTAATCCAGATAAATACCCACCAGCCATTTAATCCCCACGTCCTCCTCAGCTCCACGTTTGTGGAATGACCACACACATTAATTTTGTAACGAGCGGCCAGCAGCTTATAAGCTACAATTTATCCATCAAGAATGCTCCTAATTGATCCTTATATCTCATTATTCGAACCTTCATTTTTGGACCACGAGAATTAAATATGGTGCGAGTCGATATCGCATCATTCCCTCTCTCTTGAAGAAGATTCGATCTCGAATCGTTGCTGAATCTTGAACCTTGATCAGCTCCGCTCTTTTTTCTCTTCCAACGAAATTGTATTGGTGAGGATTGTATTATTCCCCCCTTCTTAAGAGCAATTCGTCCACGAATTATAGAGACACCATTGTGATGAAAACCCTCCACATAACTCTGCATTTCTCGTCGCGGTGAGGATCGTATTATCTTCATCTCTTCTTTCCTCCTTTCCTCCCCTTCTTAACAGGAGGGACAAGAGGTTTTTTCTTTGCAGAATTCCCCACTACTGTGATCCAGTGATTTAGTTCATTATCAGGAGTAGACTAAGAAACTAACCTCCCCTCAGGTGTAGGGGTGGGCAAGTGGCGCGGTTCAACCGCACCGCACCGCACGTCATTTGGACCGCACCGCATATTAGACCGCTATTTAATTGGTGCGGACAAACCAAACCGCTTTAATATGCGATTTGGTGTGGTTTGGACCGCACCACATATTTGACCGCAATGAAATATGGACTATGAATAATTGAATTGACAAAATTCTAATTGTAATCGTACAAATATTTAAGATCCTAACTAATTGTATCTCATTACATATATACATATATTAATCACGTTAGTTATATATGACTTCATGACCCTTACTTTAGTTAATTTAGTTAATTAATTACTTAGCAGCTCAAAATAGAGCCTTATTATTCCTCTGGCAGCAGAGTTCAATAGGAACACCCTGGGTGGCTCGGCAGCGGCGGGGACAGATCCTTCAAACCTTAGCGGTTTCCATCTTCCGAATTCGACAGTGCTGATAGTTTTGAAACCCCTTCAATCAGCCAAAACCAAACGAAAGTTAAGAATAGCCGCTGGCAATTGACTGTCCAGAGGAATAAAAATTATTAGCGGTTTGCGGTTTTAAACCGCAACCGCGCGGTTTCAGATTAATCCGACCGCGAGCCTCTAAAAATTCAGACCGCATAGTGGACCGCAAGTCTTACGGCGCGGTTTGGCTCGATCGCATAAGCGGTTTGGAGTGGTTTGACCACACCGATGCTCACCCCTACTCAGGTGAGTAAGACTTCTCAATCTCAGGCTGAGAGATACAGGACTTCCAGATGAGGCTGGTGATCCTTTTACCGCGTCAACAAAACTCGCTACTGAGCTCCCTATTGTTTGAGGAGCAGATACAGAACTCCCCTCACCATTAGGCCTAGAGGAAATTTCATCTTCAGAGCTATGCACAACTTCCTTACCTTTATCATTAACTACCTAACCATTTTCAAGAGCAAGCTGAGAATCAACTACAGACTGTTTATTCTCCACCTGCACTTTTGGAACCAATTCTTCCCACTTTTCGCTAACCAATGATAATCATGACCAAAAATCTCACATCTACTACAAACCAGAGGCTTATTGAGATACTCAATCTCAATTTCAAACGATGGGTCATCATTAGGATGGAGACGAATTTTATCAAGAAATCCACAATCCGCGACCAAATCAACACAAACTTTGGCAAACCCCAACTGAGCCCCAACCCTAGTGGTCTGATCCATCCATAGCGGAGCCCCTATCGTGCTTGCAATCCATTCGTGGCCCTCAAACGAATGATACTCTAGAGGAATACACCAAATCTTAACCCATATTGGCAAGGTCTCAACTACGGGAGTAACAGGTTGAATCCCTGGGAACCACTTCCTGAAAAACACCGGGTTACCCTGAAAATGCCACGGACCAGACTTGAACCCATTTACCAGTAGCAGCTGAAGGAAATTGGAACACCATCAAGTGAGGACCAAACTTGGAGACGCGAACAGCCCCGTCCCTTCCCCACAGACTGGTAGCCCACTGCTGAAGAGCCCCAGGTTTGGTCACAGTCCCTACAAATTGGGAGATAAGACAATCCTTCCTCCTCTCCTCGCCCTCCTCTTGACTTCACGAGGAAGACAAAAACCATCACCCTTATTCTGAGGTGGTCTATACGTCATCTTGTTCGCCGGATCAACCTCAAATAGGGAAGCCCAGCTAACAGGCACGATGGCCTGCGCTATGCCTAGCGGCGCCGCTGCCATGGCAAAAACGAGTGTTCAGAGAGAGAAAGAAGAGAGAGAAAGAGTTTCAGAGTTATTATTATTATTATTATTATTATTTCAGAGCTATCAAGAAAGAGTTTCCTTTTGAGTTTTTAGATCACGTTTGAATCTATCACATGGTGGAGTCTCAAACACTGTACAAATAAAGAGTCCTAAATGTAATAGTATGCACATTAACCAACACATTTCAAATGATCACCAACATTTTTCATAGTACTACACCAGCATATAAGTCACTCATCAACATAAAGACTAGCAATTCAAAACAAGTTGTACGGATATGCATAGGCGAATGTGGCATTATTAAAACTTGTAAAAAAATTCACAAAGCACTCACAAGAATGTTTCCCAAATGTATACATAACACTCGACTTTGATGAAGGTATATGCATGAAAAGCAATCTACCAAACCCCATCTACAATTTCATTGAACATTGTCTTCAATAGATCAAGCAAATGAGTTCAGAGCAAAGAAGAATGAACTTACCTAAAATGTTTACATACTCATATATAAGCTGCAGCGGCGGATCTAGGATATAGTAGAGCACTGGGCCACATTTGACCTAAAAATTAGATATCATCACAAAAAAAAAATTGTAGTTTTCATTAAAATATCAATTGTACATAACGGTATTTTAATTGAGCAAATTTGTCAATAATTGAGTCTTCATCCATACCAATAACATACTCTCCCTCAAAGAAAATAGTTAAGCAATCAATAAGAAATTCATTAATTTGCAAATAAGTTTTCACATGCTTTATTGTTGAAAAATATTTTTTTCGTAGTAGCCATTAAAGCGGGCAACATAAGAAAATAATATTTTTTCGCCTTTTTATTTTATACTTGAGAAGATGCTAGAATGAAGTATCTTCAAATCTACATAATCAATTAGCACAACAATTATATACTCTTAAGTTTCTAATTAACTTCCTAATTCTAATTCGAATATACCAAATAGCACAACAAACTCTATCCATTCTAAATGCTAAGTTCTTTACTAATTGAAGATATGACAAACTGTGGGTTAGTGCACTTCTTTATCACAAAGTGGGTTAATGCAGTTAAACAAAACAACAAACATAACTTGTGCACATATGTAGTTATATAATACAAAGCACAAAATTGAAAACCCCAATGCTCCACCCATGACCCAACACCATCAGATCCTCCACCCCTTCCTAATCCTAAGAAATAATATAATTACCAAAAACCCAAAAATAAACCTTGGCTCTTGTGATGCAGCGACAAATTTTGTCAAAGATCTGAGCTGAGGTGGGGATCAGAGTATTGGGGAAAAGGGCGGAGAGGGTTCTTGCGGAGAAAGAATAGATCCTTCACAGCAAAAAAAAATTCCTTTTCACTTTAATTTATTGATCGCAGGAAAGGAGAAGGGAGGACTTTTGGAAATTGGATTTTGTTACTTGGGTTTTAGGAGTTGGATTTTGGGTCTGTGAAGAAAAGAAGGTTGGGCCCAAAGTGATGAAAGGGCTGGAGCTGTGGGCTATGTATTATGTATCCTAAGAAGGGGGCTGAGAGGGCTAGGCCCGGGCCCAGTGTGGCCCAGCCCTGGATCCCACTGATAAGGTGACTAGTTTGATGTTTGGTTTTTGATGCTTAAACATAAACAAATG